ATATTGGTAGATTACTTCCCGAACTTTTGATTTCTATCCGTTTTATTTACTGACATTAAAATTAACAATGAATTTTAAAAATTAAAAAAACAATCATATGTCTATCTCATGATAACTTATAATTTCACAAAATAATTACATTGTGCGCAAAATGTACTCTTCACTATTGTTAAAACTCATGAAAGTTATAACATTTTGTATTTAATATATTTATTTATGTGAAATTTTCAATAATTATTTGATAAAGATGTGATTATCTATGTTAAATTTTAGAAATTATTATTAATTTTAATATTAATGATCAAAACTGTCGAAACATAAAATTTTAGAAGTGACCTATAAAAATAAAAACTTTAGAAAATATAAAGTTTTTTTGTACGGATATCCCCTGAACTTTTTGAATTTAGAATTTTGGTTCTTATTTTTTCTTGACATTTGACCCATTTAACTTTTAAATCTTTGCAGTTAAGCCCCAATTGAAAATAACGTTTATTTTTTTTATGATTTTGATAACATGAAGCGCATGTGAGCATCTGTTGAGGGTAATAAAGGTCATTTCTCACTTTTAGAGAGTCTAATAACCCTTAAAAACTAATAGTTGTTTGTCAGAGCATATTGTATTCAGACACATTAGATGACTCTGAACCAAACAAATGAGAAATGACTTTCATACCCTTTATAAATCTTCACATGCGCATCATATGATTAGACTTATAAAAAAAACAGGCGTCATTTCTGATTAGAACGTAATTGTAAATATTTAAAAGTTGAAGGAATCAATTACTAAAGAAAAAAAAAAGCACTAAATTGTCAAGTTTAAAAAGTTGATGCAATATTAGTATGAAAAAACCTATAACGATGCTAATAGTTTAGTAACTAGCAATGATAATAACCGCTCTACTAGTTAGAAAATATTTTGGGTTGTGGGTCTAATAAAAAATTGGCAGAGGGATAATGGTAATAAATTATATAAAAGACAGGGTACAAATGGGCCATATGTAAAAATACAAGATTGAAACTTGTATTTCAAAAACTAATAAAGGATGTTTTTGTTATTATGCCTCTTTGGGTAAGGAACAATTAGGGTTTATCCCTCAGCCTATAAATACGAGGTTTGCGTTTTGGTTTCTCAGTTCGAGGACAGCAGATCAAACTGCGTGCTTCAATCCGGTTCACTTTTCTGTCCACTCTCCTGTTCTTTTACTTTCATAGATTTCTTTCAATGTTTTTTCGTACCATTGTTGTTTCCGTTTGCTTTTATGTTTTTTCTTGAAGCCGAGATCAGATATCTGAGCGGATGATGAAAGAAATTGGTATTCAGTACTGACTAGTACATGATGTTTCCAAAATTCGAGCTTTTTAAAACTGACGCTCAGATTCTTAATGCTTTTTCCTTCCATTGTTTTTTCTTTTCTGATTGCTTAAATTTTGAGATTTCTTTTTACCAGTTTTTTTATTTGTATGCGTAAATTTATTCTATTGGTTTCGGATGTCGTTTTCCTTCTTTTTATTTTTTATTTTTTTTGGAAACAAGCTTTAAGTCTTCATGTACTTTCAATTTTCATAGTCGGTTTCTGAATTCTGAGACAAGAATCCTGTGAATATGAAGGTTCGGGCTCCAAAAATCCTCTTTTTTTTTTCCCCGTCCACTGTCGTTTGTTGATGAACGACAAGAATTAAATTCTTGGTTGGTTATTCACAGTCCAACAAAGATAATAAGAACAAAATAAATTTTAGCGGTCAGTTAGAAAGTAATAGTATTTACATGTTGCTCTGTTTTTTTTTCTTCCTGGCTTTATTATACAATGAGTCATCAGTATTACATGAAAACGCATGTGACCATTTGGAGTCTTGCCAGACTTTTCTATCCGGGAAAAACTCGAGTATACTTGAAAATTGTAGTATAAAATCCCCAACTCTTCCTGCTTCTCCGACAATGAGTGGCAATAAACTTAGTATCTGGGGTCAAAATGCTACATTTGTTGGACTTTTGTTGCATGTGGTTGCTGGATTATTATTATAACGGGGTCTTTGGAGCTTTCCTTACTAGAAGTTGCCTGCAACAATGCAATTTTTTTAGCAAAAAAAAAAAAAAATCTAAAAAATATTGAAAATTGTTATTGGTAATGCAAGTATTTCCAGCAAAAAAGAGTTGTAGAGGTAAAGTGAAATTGAAAAGGTTAGGAAAAAACTCTGCCGACATTGCTTACCACCCCAATTTGCCATTCACGACTGCTGAAGTCTTTGAAAGTGGCAGCATCCATTTCCTGCGGTGATATAATTTTGTAATTAGTAAAAGTTGACCAAAAGAACAAAACTTTCCCCATTTTTTTTATAAAAAAAAGAAACAGAGAAAAATGAAGTTCTAATTACTATTGGTGATGCATCTGATATGTGGCGGTTAACATAAGAGGACTCAGTTTTTGTCATGTGATAATTATCTTTATATACAAAGTGCAAAATTGTACTATTTGGTATTGGATATTTAAGACTTTATTTACAAAGATGCAAAATTGTGCTATTTGGTATTGGATATTTGAGATGCCAAATTATAGAAGGTGATGCCTCTTTCTATGATATAGATTAAATGCCAAATTTTATAAGGTAATGCTCTTACTATACTATAAATTGGAGGGATTGTTGTCTCCCCTTTAGGTTTCAGAGTTGGCATGACAGAAAACCGCGGTGCTAAATCTTGTGACCTAAAAGTCCACCTACAACATAAATATAGAGTTATCGGTTATAACATCAAAGAAAATGGAAATTTTGGAGGGAAAAGTAATGAAGCTACGAATGAACATTTGCAGAAGAAATAATATGCATACCCAATATAAGAAAAGATGCATAACTGTGCCCATTCTCGAACCACCAAGCGAAGCCAGTAATTTTCTGATGAGTCATCCAAATTTATGTATAACTGAAAAGCAAGAGTTTAATTACCTCTTAAGTAAAGTTTAAAGAACACTGCACAATCACAAAACTAATGTAAAGATATATTC